TAAGTATGTTGTTCTGGGCCTACCCCTGCCTCGCTTGCCCTCAATTTTGCCAGTGAGAGCTAGATGTTCAAGACCCTTATGTCTGTTCAGGTGTCCCAAAAACTGCATTTGTCGTTTCCTGATTGTTTTTAACATTGAGCGTCCCACGTGGGCTTCATCAAGCATGACCTCATTTGATTTCTTTTCCTTCCACGATACTCTTAGCCGTCTCCTAAGAAACCTAAGAAACAAACGAGGAATACTTTATGGAAAATGTGCTATTAGAAGTCCCCTTGTTGAGCTGGCCAGGTTGGTTTGGTTCCCCACAAGGTATTTACAGGCTGTAGTTTATTGGTAAGTTGTTCAACTGCGCTAAACCCAGAAAGCAACAATTGTATTGAAGAGAGATTTTCAAAAAAATTGTTTTATTCTTCTACAGTATTTACCTATATTTTTGCCTCTTTTCTTTCTTTTCCCCCCAACACTTAGAATTCGAATTTTAACAAAACATTTCTCAAGTACTTGCGACCGATACCAAGGATAAAGGAACTGTAAATTAACCCTTTGAGCCTTGGAAAAGGTACACCGGTGAGCGGGACCCTATCCCCAACCCGGCCTGCCTGATACAAAACACGCACGGAAAAACGTTATTGATTATTTTGAAGATCTTTCTGAATTAGATGCTTGTAATGACAAGGATTACCCGAATGTGATTTGGACGATCACATGAATGAAGGTGTAAATCGCCCAGGAGGGGCGCGGTAGACTCAGGGGATTAGGGCTCAAAGGTTTAAAGTATTCAAAATTTCGGGCTCAGTACATTTGCACCGCTGGCCAACAATTTTTTCACCCAATAAAGAGCGCAGAAGAGGCGTCGGTGGCCTAGTGGTTAGGCAATCTGACCCGTAATCGTGAGGTTGCGAGTTCGGGGGTTCGAACGTCAGCTCAGTCTGACGCTGCGTCCTTTGGAAAGGCACTTTACACGAACTTCCTTTTTATTTGTCTCGATCCTTTCGGAGATGGACGTTAAACTCGGAGGTCCCATCTCTTAATTAAATACCTAACTGTGTTGATAGGAGTGTTAAACCTATACCATTTCATCATTTTCAACGAGACCAGTGTGTTAATTTACCTGTGATGGAGATGGGCTTCGGGACAGAACGTGTTGGCGTCACTGTCGGTTGAGGTGAGGTGACGACAACAACAGAGGAGGACGACGACATGCCTGAGGACGAATCGACGACAGATGAGGCGGCAATGCTGGAACTTTCTCCTAGACTGACAGAGGCGATGCTGGAACTTTCTCCTAGACTAACAGAGGCGATGCTGGAACTTTCTCCAGGAATAACAGAGGCGATGCTGCTGCTGTCAGTGGTAGGGAGGACCGTGTTGCTCATTATGGCAGAGGAAGGAGGAAGGTTGGGAGTCTGACTCGCCGCCGGAACCTGAGAACTGCTGTATTCTGACGCCATAATTGCGGAGCTGCTTTCTACGGAAGACGAGATGGCCATACTACTGGGGCTAATATCAATCCCGGCTGACGACCCGACGAGCAATGATGACGCCGGTTGTAAAGGCGTCACGAGGGAAGATGACGAAGAAAGGATATTGGATGACGTCACCTCTGAGAAACTGTCTACAGAGGATGCTGATGACGACAATTCAACTGTTGAAGACGTTGCTTGGATCTCTGAAGTGCTGTCTACTAATACAGGAATAAAGACACCTGCTGTCGACGACTCGAGGGATGAGGAGAAGGCACTAGACTCTTCGAGTGATAATGACAATACAACTGGCGAAGATGCTGCTTGGATTTCTGAGGAGCTGTCAACAAATACAGGAATAATGAAACCTGGTGTCGACGATTCGATGGACGAGGATAAGACACTAGACTCTTCGGGTGACTCAGAGAAGCTGGGGGGCGCTAAACTAGAAGAAGCAGGAGGCAAGTTTTGTGTCGAATACGGGGTCATCATGGCATCTACGTTAGATGAGGCTACTTGGTCAGCTGTAGATGATTCAGCCACTGGATAAAACGAGGACGATGATGTTAACCCGCCAATAACCACGGGGGGAATCCCAGCTGCTGCTGACGTTTGCAGAGTGTCCGTGCTGTACCCGCTGCTTTGAGGGGAAATGCTAGAAAAGACAGATGAACCGTCGATGTTCACAAGAACAGCCACTGAGGCTGTGTTGAACATAACGGAGGAAGAGTCCAGAGTTCCACTGCTTGGGTACAAAGACAAGGACGAAGTTTGAAACTCGTTGCTTACAGTAGCGGAAACGTCTCCGCTCAAAACGTAAGAAGTCGTCACGGGTAACATTCCCGCTCCGGATGTGGAAGCTATATAGTCTGTTGCGATGACTGAGTCAGACAGGGAATGAGAACTTGTGTCGTTACAATAGATGCCCATTCCGTCAGTGGGACATCTGCAGATCCAGCCTAGCGAGGTGTAGTAGCAGAACCCACCGTTGTAACAGAGTCTGTCGCCACAAGAAACTGGAGGGGCGTCCGTGTTGATTGGGAAGTCTGATGGTCCAACAGAAGGCGATGGTGAAAGAGAAGAGGCAGTGGAAAGTTCGGAAGACTCAATGGTAGAAGAGAATTCGAATGAGGACGAGGCAAAGAACGCTTTTGATAATTCCGGTGTGGCAGACGATGGGCCTGTGGAAGCGCCAGAGTCTAGCGAAGATAGAGGGTTAGTACCACGACAGTAAGGATCCATACCAGCTGTAGGACATTGACAAATATAACCTATAGATGTGAAGTAGCATGAGCCTCCGTTGTAACAGTAGAAACTGCCGCATGGCACGGGGGAGGCGTCGGCCACAGCGTAAGACGATAGAGACGAAGAAGGAGTTATAGCTGAAAAGTCCATGGATGATGTGAACAATTCTGACGGCGACGATGACGTGACGTCGACTGGGGTGGACAAAATGACGTCACTCTGGGTTTGAAACACGGAAGAAAAATCTGATAAGATCTCCGTTGAGGTCGAAAAGTCGATTGAACTGGAAGCTGGAGATGGGTCAGCCATTTGACAGAAAGGTCCCATACCTGATCGAGGGCATATACACTCACTGTCTAATACCGATGGGGGACAACTGCCTCCGTTGTAGCAATTAAATAGACCGCATGATACTGGGGGTATCTGGGTGGATTCGATAATGGACGAAGACTGAAGAACAGAAGAAGACTGCACTGGCGATGACGTTGACATGTCTGTTGCACTTAACACTGATACCGGTGACGTTTGCAAGATATCAGAGAAGGCAGTCGTTAGAGTGTCGTCATTTTCGCAAAAGTATCCCATGCCTAATCTTGGACAGGTACAAATCAGCCCATTGATTGTGGTTGTGCAAACACCGCCGTTATAGCAGAAGAACGCACCGCACGCCACTGCAGCAGCGGCTACTTGACTTGAGGATTCAACCCGGGCAGACGATTCCACGACGGAGGACGGTTCTATCACCGGAGAAGATTCTATGCTTAAGGAAGAATCCAAGATGGTCGAAGATGGAGAAATTGCTGAAGTGGAGAGCTGGTCTGAAATGGAAGATGATTCGAGTCTAGACTGCAACGGCCGTTCGCAGTAAGGCCCCATGCCCTCCTGTGGGCAGAAACAATACAACCGCCCTGATTGAGTCATACAAACTCCGCCATTATAACACATGAAAGAGCCGCATGGCGCTGGGGGTAAGTATGAGGACGATTCTACCTCTGAAGATGAGTCGACAGTTGAGGATGGGGAAATGGAGTATACCGGAGATTCTGAGAGAGAAGAAGAAGAGATCGACGGCACTTGAGATACTGCAGGTGCAGATGTCCCTGGTGACATCGATGACGTGGGTGCAACCGATGACGCAGGTCCAACTGACAAGCTAGACGACGAGAAAAGAATGTCTGAATTGGGAAACTCCACAGTGGCGTTGTTTTCACAAAAATAACCCATTCCCTCCCTCGGACATTGGCAAACGACTCCAGTAGCAATATAGGAACAGTAGCCTCCGTTGTAGCACTGGAAGGCGCCGCAGTCCGTCTGCAGTACTTGTGAGGATTCCATCACCGTGTAGGAGTCGACGGTAGAGGAAGGGTTGATCATGGAGGTAAAGGGAGACTCAGACGCAGGAAGTGAGGACTGAGGAAGATTTCTACAAAAATAGTCCATGTTTTGGCGTGGGCAGAGGCAGCTAAAACCAGCCCCTGAGTAGAAGCAAGAACCTCCGTTATAACAGAAGAAGGTGCCGCAAGGAATAGGCGCTGTGCCATTTGATTCCTCCATGGATGAAGACGCTAGATCAGAAGTTGGTAGAGTTGTAGGTGACGGTACAATGTCAGAAATGGAAGCCGATGGCGTCACCTCGACATATGAAGACGACGTGACTGATAACGACAGATCTTGTGATGAAGCCAGGGTAGGTGACAGGGTGTTAGAGGATTCTGATGCATAAGGTATGCCATAGACAGTGGCAACAATCCCCGCTGAGCTTGCTGGAGATGTTTCAAACGATGGTAGGGGTGTCGCCGCTGACTGCTCGGGGCTTTGAATGATGGCGGAGGACGATGACGACAGGAGGAAGAGAGAGGCGCTGGACGTTTGGACGTCATCGCTTGGTGCTACTGTAGGCGACGCAGTCATTGGGAGAGCGGTTTGAGAAGAAGCAGATGTGCTGAATACCTCAAGTGGCGGTGAACTGATGGAAGATGTGACCAGGCCCTGATCAGAGTCGACGTCCAAGATGACGTCACACTTCGGTCCTGTGTAGCCCACACTGCACAGACATTGATAGCTCCTTGGCAGATCAACACATGTGCCAAACTCGCCGCAGGGTCTGCTGTCGCAAGGGAGTTGTTGCCGCTCACAGCGGTTGCCTTGGTAACCAAAAGTACAACAGCATGAGTTGTTAAAGCACGTACCGCCGTGAAGACACCCGGAGGTGGAAGGACATTCTGGGTCAATGCTCGGCGGAAGGATTTTCTCATCACATGTTCCACCGCCCCACCCAGACTTACAGATGGGAATTCCTGTGACGTGATCACAGAGGTAGTGGCTGTAACAATTATCCTGCTCGTAACAAGGCTGGGAGCAGTCGGGTCCGTAGAAATTGGACGGGCAGTTCGGGTTCGCGGCTACAGGCAAAATATATCGCTGGCAGCGAGCTCCTGTATATCTTCCCTGACACAGACACATATACTCATTGGTACCGTTCTGAATGCAGGTTCCTCCGTTTTCGCACACAACTCCATAGCAAGGGTCGGTGGAGGGGATTGGTGTGGTTACCTCTGGAGTCTGGGACCGTGGGTTCAACTCCACCTCGCAGTTCAGTCCAGTAAATTCAGGCGGACACGAACAGGAGTACGCTCCAATCAGATCCTCGCACTGCCCGCCGTTCAGACAGGGTTTGGTTTCACACTCCAAGATCTCCACATGGCACAAGGTACCGGTATACCCCGGCAAACAACAACAAGTATCGTTGGAGCAAAGGGCGCCGTTTCTGCATACACTTCGGGGACATGGGTCGCTGTGTCTGGCGTTCAGATCCCGCACGTTGCACAAGGGACCCGTCCAACCAAAGCGGCATTCGATTTTTCCCGTGATTTCGTTGCACGTATTTTGTCCCAGCGAGCAGTCGTCTCTCTCTTGGCAAAAAGTGCCGCAGTCTACACCGTAGTAATTCTCGTCACAGTTTCTGTTCGGCGTCAGCATTGTCTCGCATCTCTCCCCAGTAAACCCTTCTTTACACGAACATCTAGCGCCGGTAAGATCTTCAAAGCACGTCCCGCCGTTTTGACAAGGTTTCGTCTGGCAAATCTGTGCTGGTTGCTCGCAAAACGGCCCTACGAAGTCCCCAACACAGCAGCATGACCCCTCAAAACATTCTCCTCCGTTCTGACATCCGCACGAGGTGTCGGGAGTCTCTCTGACCTTGCAGTCGGACTCCTGCGTCCAGCCAGGGAGACATACTCTGGCCCCAGTAGCAGCGTCACACGTATAATGACCGGAACAGTCGTCAGCAGGTTTACAGTATGTGGTGCAGTTCTGTCCGAAGTAACGACCGTAGCATTGTCTGGGCGGCACGGTGGGTGTCGTGCTCTGGCTGGAGGGGGAGGTGGTGGGGGTCAAGGTTGAGGTTACAGGGGAGTCGCACGTGTCGCCTGTGAAACGACTCTCGTCACACACACAGGCGAAAGTTCTGGCGGAGATAAGATGGGAAAGTAATGAGATATCGCGGATTATAATGATATATCATTCTGAAACAGGAAGATTAACAACAGCAACAGTAGTAGTAGTAGCAGTAGTAGTAGTAGTAGTAGTAGTAGTAGTAGTAGTAGTAGTAGTAGTAGTAGTAGTAGTAGTAGTAGTAGTAGTAGTACATCGGAATTATTTCTCGTATCTATCATCGTTATTATTAATAAAATCATTTCCCTTTTCCCCCTGTAACATTTCCATATCTTTCACCAGATTAAAAGCACCACTGGTGAAAATGCCAATTTTGGGCTACAAAGCATTCAATCCGTTAAAAAAAAAACCCAAAAAACTAAGAAGACAACAAGACTTTGCATGTCGTATACTCACTCGAAGGTAGTTTTTACTGGTACACACTGGCCGCCATTTTGACAAGGATCGTCTGCGCATGTCTTTGACTCTTGACACCTGTCACCTTTGTATCTAGAGGTATGATTAAAAAATCGGGTGAGCAGACCTCTTTTTGTTAGATAAGAAATGATCAGATAAGGTAAGATAAGATAAGATAAGACAAGATGAGATAAGATAAGATAAGATAAGGCAAGATGAGATAAAAAAAATTCTCAAGACGTTGACACACTTTTTTGAAGTTTCATCACGTACACACACACACACACACACACACACACACACACACACACACACACACACACACATAACATGCACACACA